TGGACAACGCACACACATACACAGACACACACACACACATGTATACACATGCTTGATGTGCGGGTAGATGGGCTGGGGCTAGGGTTGGTTGGCTGGTCACAAGAATTCGCTGCATCAGTGGCTGCAATTGCGAAACATTGTTAATTTATGCAAATTTAGCCACCGCCGCCCGCTTTGTGCAACGCCAATGAGGCACGAGCGCTGCACTGGTAGCCGCAGCAGCCGCCGCAGCCGCGGCCGCAACGCCAACAACATTAACGCGCTGCAGCACCAGCGACAGAGCCACCGACACGACTTGCATAATTTGGTGCCCAAATAGTGGGTGGGCCAAAGGGAAGAGATGGGGCGCAAGGGGAGGGAATTGCCATTTTGCTAGGCAACGCGCCTTTGCCTCAATTGCAAGCAACTGCACGTATGTATGGGTGTGTGTATGTCTGTGTGTGTGTGTGTGTGTGCCAGTGTGCTGGTTACATTTTTGTCGACACTGGGGACACTGACAGATCCGGCTGCCAGAGGCTCAACTGGGTGCGCAACGAATTAGCACGTCGACTGTTTGCCTGATTGCCAGTCAAAATGAGGCCGTTGGCTGCGTAGAGCTGCGCCAAAAAAGCTCAACGGCATATGCAAGAAGAAGAAGAAGTAGAAGAAAGGGCTGCAGCAGAGCTGGAGCACTTGCCATGCATACAGGCGAAAGGGTTTGATATTCACAACAGGTAGACAAACATTCCAGTAATTTCTCATTGGAGCAAGTTGATTGGGAGTTGGAAAGAATACTGGACTAGATACTGAAGATCTATCCTCTGTTTAATGTGGAATAACGATGAATAATAGTCTCTTTGGAATATGAAAAGAAGAGTAAAGCATTTGGCAAGAGACTTAAATAGGACTTGCTATAACAGACATCTTTGGGTGAACTTGAAAGAGATCAGTACTCCAAATAGTTGGTAAACTGTATTGAACGGGCTTTAGACCCAATTAGACTTACTCTAAGCTGCGTCAGGCAGAGTACTGAGTCCTGAGATGCTGTTTATTATTTTTGGGAAAGAATTCAATTTCTAGTTTCTGAATGATGGAGATCTGAAATACATAATCTTTATATTATAACCCTGTAGCAATGATAATATGTGGACTTTTACTTTACTTACTTAAGATCAATAGGAACCAAAAACAGTTCTATGAAGCTTTTCGATCGTACTTTGGCTGGGAAGAGTTTAATCTCTTGACTGCAATACACAAGTGATAAGCATGTGCTGACTGAGAGCAACAATGCAGAGCTTATTTTTCACTTCTACATGAGTAACCAATCGAAAGACTCATTTATATTCAAAACTATTCCCAATTATATTCAAAACTATTCCGTTTCTATGATCACCTTCATTTGTGTGCTATAAAAATACAATTTTACATTGCCTCTCAGAATCGTTTTCATCTTGGCTCCGATTCTGCCTCAATGGCTTGCATTCCTCAACAAAAATAATAAAATGCACAATATGGGGTCTCATTTGTGCATAATGTTGCGCCAGCGACTTCTGTGGCACCCACAGTCGGGCGGGCAGCCGATAAGCCAGCAAATTGACGCCAATTATAAAATATATGTATCGGTTAATGTATGTGCATATCGTCTGCGTGTGTGTGTGTGTGTGTTGCATGCAGCATACGCATATTGGCCATATGATAATACAAATATATGGCTAACTGTATTTATTGTATTGTCTAGACATGAAAAACCGCAGTGCCTGCATTGCATTTGCGTTTTTATTTTATGGCTTAACCGCATTAAATGAAGCAACTCGCAAAAAAGAAAGGACAAATGCAGTGCAGGTAGCAGTGGTACACAATCCAGATACCCTGTAAATATATGACTGAGTGGAGTGATGCTCTAGGCTGTTATGGTAGCTGCTTTAGAGCAGACGAAGTTGAAGAGGTTGGACTGGGAGGGGCTAAGGTAGCCTATACCCTGGAATTGATTTCAACAGTAGAGTCCATAGGGTTGCTGAGCACATGTACACCCTGTAATTGACCTCAGATCAGATATGATTATATTTAGTTACACGTTATTGCTTCAAGCAGTGTGAGATTTACTGGAAGACGAACGCAAGACGGTACTTATCGTAGCGTATACCCTGGAATTGTTTCGAACAGAAAATACGCCTACATATAAAATTAAGAGTTCTTAAGATATCTACTTTACCTAATCAAGAGTAAACGAGCTGTCGATAGTTATCGAAGGCAAATTTATCATTCATCAATCAAACTTTGTACCCCATCGAGTGGGCGGTATGTGTATGACATCTATAGGGCATTACGAACATGCCTGGCTGCTGGCTCGTCTGCATCATGACCACTTTCAACTTCCTTTAATGGATATTGGACATTAAAAAAGACGTTTAATTTAACAATTTGATGGCACTGCCAGCTTCAAAGGGCATACACAATGTGAAACATGGCAAAGCGCCTACGAAATTGCCGTTCAATTTTTGTTTGATGTAAGCGAGCAGCCGACCCCAGCCCTATCCGTCGACACGCCTGCTCACAGCCCCGTTGGCCATTTGTGTCGGGTGCCGCTGGATTTTGGGAATTGCCAGATGTTAAGCTTATGCATACAATTAGTTCAGTCAATTGTCCAGGTGAAAAGGTCTTTGGACCTCTGCCCATAAATAATGCCTAATACCGCGCAGCAATTGTGTGTTATACAACTCAAATGACAGTCGAGGGAAGGGGGATGTGCCTACCTACACGCCCACCGCTCGTGGATTTCAAAATATGTATGCATATATGTATATACGTATGTATGTGGATGTTAACTAACTAACTGACTGATTTATCTTGACGGATCGTGTAGCTGTGCGATAAGCATTATGGGGACAGCCAGCGCATGTGTAATCTAGCTCTTATCGCACTCGAATTCACGATCATGATCATTGCTGATCTGGCGGCTACCAGCTGCTCTCCCACTTCACCCCGTTGATATACACAACGCTCGCAGTTATCGTGATGCTTGCAAAAACATACGCAACAGCTACACAAAAAGAGAAAACAAAATCAACCGAAGCCAAGCACCTTTGCTTGCGTCATTACCTGGGGTTTTGCAGACCCGCTGGCAAACAGTAGCCTGCATAGATATACCAGCATCGGTACTTGCCAGATAAGCCAATTGGGCTTAGTCATGATCTATGCAGGAATCCACTTTGAACCACATTTCCGGCCTGTCATATCTCGGACCAGCTCAAAGCAAGTGCTCATTGTGAACACACTTGTGTGGGGTACTTCAATGCTGGCATTTGAGTTGCAGCAGCTATGATTAAATTTAATTGCTTTTCGAGTTGTTATAGCTGAGCAAGATATATGATTTACGCTCATTCCCCCTATAACTTATTCCAGGGTAATTCACATTCAATGCGCCTCATTATTATTGTCTTTCCTGTTTGTTATTTGTCTTCAAATTTCTCTTTTTTTTTTTTTTTTTTTGGGCAAATAGCGCAAATTTGTCAAGAGGAAATGCGCAGCCTTGTTTAGTTTATGTTTATCAAAGAAAAAAAAAAAATAAATAATAATAATAATTCCAAAAAAAGGCAGAAATTAAAGCTCTAGACTTAGATTACGTACGGCAGTTAAACAAATGTGTGAAATATCATCATTGGCTTAACTTAATGACCATCGGAAGCTCCAGCACAGATAGTAGCGTTAGTTATACGTTTATTATTTTATTATTATTATTTGCACGAACTGTGATTCATGGATTCGACCAACTTACCCAGAATTCGGCATTTGAATCTAGAGCATTGCTATTACTTTAATTACTCGGAAATTCTTGTCTACAACAAACTACCAAGGTCGACTTCACAGCCAATTAAACTAAGCTGGGGTAGTAAGTTTATGGCTACTTGTATTACCATTACCTTGTGGTTTGTTTGGTGTTGGTAATCTCTGTAAACATTTGCTTAACTTTTTGGTTAGACTAAATTCCAAAATGTTGTTTATCTACAGCTATTGATAGACAAACTTGGCATAGATGCGAATAAAGTTAACAGCTGCTAACGATAAATACTAAGTTTGGGCTAATCATTTTATAGCTTCCGTAGTTTTACATTATTTATTTATTTTTTTTTTATCTTATTGTCTAACAAAAATTTCACATTTTATTCCATTACGTCAACGAGGCGGAAAAAATAATTATTAATAAATAAATAAATTACAAATTCAAAATTGTTGTTAGGAAAAAATAAAATAAAATAAATAAATAGCAAGCTTCGTCGAAAGCAGAATATGTAGCTCGCAGCCGCAAACAGCTTTAGGCCACTTCACATTTTAGCTGCAATATCATAAATTGGTCGCAAACTTATCTGGGACAAACAAAGATAATCATTGGCTATTTACATAGCGTCAAGCAGATTCGCTAGAGATAAGTGCAGATGACATTAGTTGTTTATTTTTGTTTCGAATAAAAGCGACTCGCTGGCCCATGCCGTGAATAGTAACGATTTTAAATTCGAACCAAATACATAACGCACCTCGACGATGACGAACAAAACATTCAAGATTTTGATGTTATTTGTGGTAATTGTTGCCTAGATTGTACTAACGCGCCACCAGAAAACCCAAAACCCGATATTCCCGTTCCCCACATCGTCACATGCCAGAACCTCAAATCAAAATTTGAAAATAATGAAATCTTTTTTGTTTCTGTTACTGATGAGTTGTATTTTATTAACCATTTTGTGTGGCAACTTTACGGGCTTTTGGATACGCGTGACTAAAACCAAACAAACTAACAAAAGCTGCCGGGATTCTTGCTACTTTGGATATCGTTTATAGCACTCGGCGGCGACTCGAAAGTATCCTATGCAAGTGTAACTAAACCAGTGTAATTTGTTACGGTCCCGGGATCCCGACTTGTAACAAACAGTGCACCAGTGCGACCGATCGCCCAGACATACTAAACTCTTTATTCTCTTTCTTTTTTTTCTTTTTTTTTTGCTTATTACTCTTATTTCCAACAGTTAGCCGCACTGTTCGATGGCCAGCATCAGGCCGTACAGACCAGTGCGCAGATCATTAGCATCAATTGCGGCGGACAAGCAGCCATCTGCGTTGGACCGGCATCTTATCAGCTCTGTGAAAGGAATGTGGCAGTTGGCAGTGTCCTTCAGTGTCCACTCAGTACGCGCTGCGTTAATGAAGGCGTGGAAATTTGTGTGCCCGTTAAAGTGGATCCCAAAGCGCCCTCTGCTGCGGTTGCCAAGATGACAACAGTCACCGATCATCCGATTACCGGTGGCAGAGCATCAGCGGCTATCATAGAGTCCACGACTAGCTCCGGAGGCATTGTGGTTGCCAATAGCACTGAAGGCTTAGTGATTCTCACTACAACTGCGGGCTTACCGCAAAGTACTACTCAGCTGCCCATTGAGACAACATCGACTATCGTGGAGACGACAAATGCACCGGTGGAGACAACTGCTGGTGCACCTTTGCTAACAACTGCTCAGCCAATTGTTGAGACAACGCTTGCACAGGGAGAGACCGAATCAACTGTTTCTAATATACCAGTGGATACAACAATTTTACCTTCTGAGCCCATTACAACAGTGAGTCCAAATATCCCAAATGCTCCAACTAAGCCAACTCTCCCGGAGGTATCGACATTACCGCCAGTAAATCCAAGTGAACCAGCTAATCCCAACACACCAGTTGATCCAGAGGTAACAACAATATCACCGGACGACCCAAATGCACCCTTGGACCCAAATGCACCTGTTGAGCCAAATACAACTGAAAGCCTTGAGGGTACAACTCTATTACCCACTGGTCCACCCGTTCCAACAGATCCGAACGCACCAGTAAGCCCGGAAGGCACCACTATATCTCCGACGGACCCAAACGCACCACTTGACCCCAATTCACCAGTGGACCCCAATGCCCCAGTGGACCCTAATGCACCAGTGGGCCCGGAAATCACTACCATATCTCCAGTTGATCCCAATGCTCCAGTTGATCCCAATCTTCCTGTGGACCCCAACGCACCAGTAGATCCGAATGTGCCAGTTGATCCCAATGCTCCAGTGGATCCCAGCGCACCAATTGACCCGAATGTACCAGTGAGCCCAGAGGGCACCACCATATCTCCGACAGACCCAATAGCACCAGTTGACCCCAATTCACCAGTTGACCCTAATGCACCAGTAGACCCAAATGTTCCTGTGGACCCCAACGCACCAGTAGATCCGAATTCACCAGTCGACCCCAACGCACCAGTGGGCCCAGAGATCACTACCATATCTCCACTTGACCCCAATGCCCCTGTTGATCCCAGCCCGACTGTAAATCCGAATGCACCTGTGGACCCTAATGCACCAGTAGATCCAAATACACCAGTTGATCCAAGTGCACCAGTTGATCCGAATGCACCTGTCGACCCTAATGCACCATTGGACCCTAATGTACCAGTGGGCCCAGAGATCACTACCATATCTCCAGTCGACCCAAATGCACCAGTAGATCCCAATGCACCAGTAGATCCCAATGCACCAGTAGATCCTAATGCGCCAGTTGATCCCAATGCACCTGTAGATCCCAATGCTCCTGTGGATCCCAACGCACCCGTGGATCCAAACGCACCAGTAGATCCCAATGCGCCAGTTGATCCCAATGCGCCAGTTGACCCCAATGCACCAGTTGATCCCAATGCGCCAGTAGATCCAAATGCACCAGTTGATC